TAACATCTTGCAATCAACTTCTTAGAACTACAAGTTTCTCACAATTTTAAATTTATATCTTGCAATACTGATTGAGAGTCTGAATTGTGAGAAATGAGATTGCAAAAAAAAAAAAGTCAAATTAATTTTTCTTTTTCTGTGGTGGAAATAACCTCACAGAATTCAGAGTTTCTCATAATTCTGAGTGTCGCAATGGAGTTTGATAAAGTTCAAACTGTATTGAGGCACAGTTTTACTCTGTGGTTGAAATAAAGCTTCCATAAATCCTGATAATGATGCATCTCATAGCTTCCTCACCTTGATAAGGTTGATCTGATGCTCGGCACAGAGAGCCTCCACCAGCTTGACATACATGGGCTCATCACAGTTTGCTGCCAGGACGCAAAGATGAGCCTGGCGCCTGTCAAACAAAGAATGACCATCAATGACTTCAATCTCCTCCAACAGGTATGACCGATCGCTTCAACAGTATCTCAGACAGAAATTGGGTAACGAATGGCAGTTATCCTCAAGAGACTTCAGTAGAGGGAGCCAAATTATCATCATAGACACACAGCAACATCTTCCAGTATATTAAAGTAGTCACTTACTTGTCGAGGGCCTTGGCGGCCTCACGGATACCGCGGGCCAGACCGTCATGGATGAGTGCGGTCTTCAGCACTTCTGGCAGAGCGGTGTTGACATCCATCACACCTCCGGCAGCGATGCTGTCAGTTGTACAAGAGGATGTTATTGGGATGTAAAGAGTCAGGTGTGCACACACGCATGTAACAACCTGCGGCTTTTCAGACTGGATGTCTCACTCATGATTAGAGTGAAGGGGTATCCGACTAAAGATTCAAAGTTCATCATAGCCGAGGTCACCAGAAGAAATCACCATCCAATATAACTTAAATGCTTTAACATGTCATACACTTTCAAGGACAGACATTAAGTTAATTTAGAGGTATATATATATATATATAACCTCTAAATTATAATATTCAAACCCTGTATGGCTTCATTTTGTGGCACACGAGTATAAATGTACGTGTAGATAGACGTTCATAGATATAGAAGAATGTCCAATATATTCTCTTTCTGGTACATTGAAAGTGAATACTATCAAGGTATTCCGCACAAAACTATCATATAGCTTCAAAACACGTTTAAAGTTAATAATTAAATAAGAATCAAGTGGGCTACTATTAGTTTTGCGCCCCTTTGATTGACAGCTTTTGGTCACCGTTTAATTTCACTGTGTTGAAAACGGAGCTCAGACACGCCGTTCTTATTAATCTATGGGGAGAAATTAGTCATATGGTTCCTAACCTTTAGGGTGAGTAAAACAAATTTTAACCGCTACATAAAGCCATTCAGTGCACATTCCCCATTAAATCTAGATTGTGCAGCAACAGCATA